TTCTTCATCAATTGAGAAGTCTTCCCATAAATTCACGATCCCCATCATATGTAGAAGCTCTGGTCATACAAATGGATTATTAGGATCATCATATTTTTTTTGAATGCTCTAGCAACTTCTGAACTCTTCTTTGACGTGAGTGGAATAGAAGCCTTATATCGGAAAACGCAGTCTATTATATTAAGTACTGCTATATATTTTTTACGCTTATAATAATCATGTGTAAGGAATAGCAAATCACATTGGTATATGTAATTTGGGCATGTTATTCAGCTATAGCTACATCTAGGAATATTCTTCAGGAGAGTTTTATGTATTTAATATATATGTTGCTATTCTAAAAAATCATGGCATTCTTTTAGGCAGAAATGATGCCCTTCTTTTTTATATGCATCTTTTAAGAATTTAGGATTAGAATAATACTCAGTTGGGTGATAATATATATCATATAATATAATATTTTTTTCGATTCTCTGGGTCTCATCAGGATCTATTTGGATTATAGGAACCCTTGCTTCCTTTTCTCATCTCTCAAAAAGATAGAACTATCTATAAAAAAAAGATAGAACGGCGCTAATGTCTGAAAATGAAGTATATGAGAGTCAGATACAATTCCTAAAATGTGATTTATATCATAGTGAGCTAGAGATATCTCGATTATATAAAAGATCTCAGAGCAGGAGATATCTGATCCCTCCTTCGATCAAAGATCTTCAGGAGAAAAAATTGACAAATTTTCCTGATCATATCCTTAGGATACAGTTTTCCTTTTTTCGAATTTATGAGAAAAAATTGGATCAGATATTAGAAGAATTATCTAAGCTTCATGAAGAGATATTTCGGTTAAAAAATAGGATTAGTAATCTTATTATGGCCTCATCGAATAATATACCTGGTCCTAAAGGGACCCCTTCAATACCATTAACAAAAGATTTTTCATCATTCTCATCGTCCTCATCATCCTCATCATCAAGGCAATCAGATCATAATCAGACTTTATCGAGTAATATAGCTTCTGGTTCGTTAGATGTCTCAGGAATACAAGACCATACATATGAAATAGATGAATGTGAAAAAATTAATTATCATGCTACTATCTGAGTAAACCGTTTAAAATAAGTAGGGCGTACTGCTGATAATGAAATAAATTTACGCAGAGTTCAGGATTGGTTAAAAAATCTTAAAGATAATCTTTTACAAGCTGAAAGAATAATAGCTGACCGTGATAGTGAATTACAAGATACCCAGAATGCTTTGGAAAATGCAGAAACCCTAAATAGTATATTACAAGAGGATCTTGCTAGAATAACAGAAAAATCTCAGTCACTTTCTGGTGGCTCCTCTAGTGAGAGAGTTTCTATTGAAACATTACAAGAAGAATTCGATTGATCTATTGAACATCATCGCAATTTGAGTGAGCAACTTGATGATGATTTATTGGCTAGTATTTTATCTTTAATACTACCTTCAGTAGAGCCAGAAGAAAACTTATCTCCCCAAGAGGTTCACCAATTATTAGAGAAAGAGCATGAGAAAACTTTAAAGGCTATAGGCCTTGCTAATACTGCGAAAAAAAGAGTTCAAGAATTAACACGAGTCATATATGGTGGAAGTCCTTCTCCTCCTCCTAAAATGTCAAGTTCTTGTTTAGAATTTGATAATGAGATTTTAGGTGATTTAGGGGGTAATATAAATGAGGAGGAAGATTCTATGCCAGATTTCCTATCATATGATAAAGATATAGAAGCTATTAATGATCAGCTAGAAGAGGAGAAAGCTAGATTACTTCGAGAAAATACTTATCTTATTTTTATTTCTCGATTTCAGATCTGTAAGGCTAGAACAGCACAAGATTTATGGATTAATACAAGGAGAAATAATCGTCAAATGAAAGCTCAATTGCATGAATGTCAAGGTGATAGGGGGTACTAAAATATAATTGAGATCAGCTTTTTGATAGATATGAGAAGTGGAAAAATAAGACACATGAAGAATATCAAATAATATTTAATTTACAAGAAGAAATTTTAGCATTACAGAATAATCCACTAAATATATCAGAAATGGTAGGATACGGACCCCAATATTTTATGGTCGTTCTGGAAAGGATCCAGATGATTAGCTTTTGGATATGCAAAGATATATAATAGCTAGTCGAATAAATGTTACACCTGATGCAGGTCAGGCCCCCGGAAGAGAAGAGGCATTTGGGCTAGTAATATCATGCCTTGCAAGTGATGCATTGAATTTTTATTTAACTTGTATTAAAGGTAAAAATTGGAGATGTAATAATCTCTCAGACAATTTAGAAGTACTTACTTTAATTGCTATTCGAACAATAGATGCTGGAAATGGTGGTAATCAAATTGGTAGTTTGAATACTGCTGGAGAATTTCAAGATAAGGCGGCCGCTGAAATTGGTAGAATTGGAGCAAGAGCTGCAACAGGTGCTCATATTATTCTGAATGGAACATGGGATGAAGATTGGTCTATAGCTGATGGTGAACCTGTAGATAATGCACCAGTAGCATCTAATGCCAGAAGTGGTTTTTCTGCTGTTACTATTGCTCCTGATATTAAGCTAGGTCAACTTTTATACCTGTTTAGAACCTCTTATACAACTGTTGAACACTTAAAATAAATGGCAGTTTTTAGTCAACTCATGCAGGGTGATATGTCAGTTGAGCAATTCTTCACTAGAATTAAAAAATCGGTAAAGTAGCTGAAATGACTCCTAAACAGCAAAGAGAGCAATTTATTTGTGGTCTGTTCCCGATGAATCAATATAATCTTCGAATGATAGTCAAATTTTATGATACACAGGATAATATTACACAAGCTCTAGCTGAAGCAGAAAGATATACATTATCTCAAAAGAGCGCACCATATTCTTTTCTAATTTTTCCGGTAGCCAATCTATATACAGATATTAACAGATCAGGGATGACTAAAAATGAAATCAAGAGCTTAGTAAAAATACAATGGCATCCTCAGAACCTCAACAGCCTCAACGGCCTCAACAAATGACTTCATCACAATTTCAGCCACAACCTGCAGGAACATATAAAAATTTACGAGATGAGAATATAGGAAGATTTTTATCATTGATTACGGAAGAGACCTAGAATTTGTTCCTGTTCCTAATCCTACTTTACCATCAAAGCCAAAGAAAAAGGTTGATGTTGATTCTGACGATGAACTTGCCGAGCTCACAAAAAACAGTTAAACTTACATTTGGCTAAAGCCATTAAAAAGGCTGTAAAATTACAACATAAATGTTCTATCTGTAATAAGACTGGGCATAATTGTCGCAAATGCTCTCAGAAGAAGAAAAAGAAAAACAAGAAGACTAAAAAAGGAAAGGTTAATCTCACTACTTTAAATTTGACCTCAAATTTGAATTCAGATTCTTCTTCTGATACCTCATCTAGTAATAGTTCTGATTCTGATTCAAGTTCTTCTGATTCTTCTGATTCTGAAGGTGAGCTTAATATTAATATGGCTAAGATAAAAAAATTAAAGCGGAAGTCAAGCTCTAAGAAATCTAGTTCTAAGAAATTGCCATCTAAGAAACGCTTTAAGAAAAAAAACAAGTCCAATAGTATAACACTCTGGCTAAATCTGCTGAATAGGTTGGTAAAGTAAATTCTGAAAAGCTAACAAATGGATCTGGTAAGGCTAAACGAAGCACTCTGAAAGAAACTATTCGTAAAATTCTCCAAAGTGAACTTAAATTAATTTTTTCTGCATTGATTTCTTAAGACTCTATTTCCGATTCTAATAACTCTAATACACTAAAACAAGTGCCTTCTATTCAGGAAAAGACAGAGTTTCAGAGTGATAAGGCTTCAATTACCAAAGATATTTTATCAGACCTAGAGGAGAAAGAATATTTGGAGGATCCAATGGAAATCAACTTTGTTCAGAAAAAGGATCCTGCTACAGATATTGCAACGGTAAAATGTAAAATCAAACGCTTAGTGATCACAGGTGCCATGGTTGATCCTGATACTAATTTCATAATTATGACTATTGATATAGCCAAACGACTAAAACTAAAAATTGATACGAATGAAAAACTTGACCTTAAAGGTATTGTTACAGTCCCTATGGAATCGCTTGGTATAACTAGGAATGTGCCTGTATAATTTGCTCCTGGATGTATTATATATTCTGATTTCGCAGTAATCAAAAATCATCTAGGAAAGCCAATACTAATCTTACCCAACACGCTTCTTGATAAATATAATTATGATCTGCTTGCATCAAAGCAGGAGTTGAGACTAGAATGTACAGTCAAACCTTGATATAGCGAACTCTTGATATAGCGAATTTTTAAATCAAATATATTAAAATTACCTTTACTATAGTGAACTAGCCAATTAAATTCTTTAAAAAATTCGTTATAAGCTTATAACGAAGTTGATATCCAGATCCTAGAATTTGTTATATCAAGAGTTCACTGTAATGGTAAGGAATTTTTTATTCCAATCAATATGCATAAGGTCAAGAATAAGCTTGAGGATGAATTGCGCAAACATTACTCTTGAATGCGATGTTTCCTCAATTCCAGATAGAATTTCGCAAAACTTGCAAGACTTAAGTGAGGATGGTACATTAAAAATAGTGAGCTATGAAAGTATGGCAACTCATAGGAAAGAGCTTGAGAAGACATTATTTACTAGTGTTCAAGCAAATTTGGAAATTATGTGACACTATAATAATCTTTGTGAGTGGTATGGACAATACTAAGGTCAAGTTTTTAATTTTTGTTCAAGTGCACGACCTTTTGCAATAGCCTTTTCCATTCCATTTTGTGCTTTCTTAAATACTTCTAGAGCATTTTCAGAATCTTGTAGAATAATAGGCGATAGACTGGAGGATAGCGGTATCTTTGACACATATTCTTTTTTTGTCTCTAATACCCCACCTACCTTTTGCGATAAATTTTTATTATCAGAAATACGAATAGACTTGGATTTTTTTTTGTCTGTCTGTGTTTACATGAGACTACCAAAGGTAGAAGTATCATCATGTGAAGATTTCTCATTATCTGAATTCTGGCTAGAAGGTATTTCACGTAAATGAAGAAAAGGATCAGAAGATATAATATCTTGTTGAGCACAATCAGGTTGGTCCAATGCATGTTTGTGCTAAATTTCATAAATTTGTTTTGTTGCAATATGATATTTCTTAGCTATCACCATTACAGCATTTTTAACTTTTCCACGGGAATTGCGAATTTCCTCAAGTGCTTCAGGTGATAAAATGGTTGCATTTGCACTATAATATTCTTTACATAGACGTTCCATTTTATTGTAAAATAAAAATCCATGAATAATTGTTAATTTTCATCGATTATTATCGAGAATTATTCAATTATAATTAAATTTTTTTGATAATAGTTGCACATTTTTGATAACTTTCGAAAGAGACCAGTTTTTATTAAATATTTTCCCCTTTTTCTCATAAATTTGAAAAAAGTTCAGTTATAAACATTCAGAAGAAAGCTTGCCATATTTTCTTAACCTGAAAAGAAAAAAATGTGAGCCAACCAATTATACAAATCATGATATATAATCCGTAAAATATTTTTTCTATATCATCAAAGTATATATGAAAGTAAGTCATAACCAATGTGCATACTATGAAAGATCTTAGCTCGGGTCATCGTCTTAGTAGTGCCTGTGAAATGGAGCTTGAGGGGGTATTGCGCTTTAGTAGCAAATCTGTTACTGACCTTGTTAATGAATATAGAAACCTGTAGGACTTATGTTTAGAGCGAGAAAAGGAGTTCCAGCGATTCCATGCTGATATCAGAAATAAGGTTAGTCAGTTAAATAGTGCAAATACTAAGCTTAGATTCCAATTTACTTCTGAACGGAAGTCTCATTCTGAGAATCAACGTAAGCTTGAAGCCAAATATACTGCCAAAATCAAATCTCTCAAATCAAATATTAAAACACTAAAGAGAGAGGTAATTTTAGTGCAGAAAGCTTCATCCGCTGACAAGGTCAAGATACTTTCTTTTGAAGCTAAGGTAGTTGAATTGGAAGGTAAGTTTCTAGATCTGGAACTAGAATGTGATTCGCATATAGTAGGAGGACTACTAGAGGAGCCGGCCCAAATAAACTCATCCGCAATAGAATCCCTTAGGCTCGAACTGGAGCAAGCGAATGAGGACCTTAATTCAAAAAAACATGAAATAGAATGTATGGAAAAAGGTATAAATGCGATACATGAGATAACCAGTCAGGAAATAGATGCTTTGTCTTTGACACGATTAAATTTAACAGAAGAAAATTCTCGTCTCCAAGAGATAATCTCAAAGAAAGAGCTGAAAAGTACTTCGCATAATGAAATAGTAGATCTCTCTAACCCACCACTTTCACCTATGAATGATTCATCACAAAAGCTACCAGATTGGGTTAGCGACAATTTAAAACCCCTCATCTATAAGCTCAGTCTTGAAAATAAAGTTATGGAATTCGATAAAAGTTTTGCTAAAGAAAATATATTAGAGGTTTTGCAAGAGCTATTACCTCAGGATGAGATAGTTTTGAAAAGCCAGACAAATACTCTACCCAATCAATCTGTTCATAGTCAACTAGCACATTCTAAAAAGTATATTTTGAGTGAAGGTGTTGCAGAGCAATCAGGTAGCGCAAAAGTAATGCTACCAGCTCAAGTAATGCCTCTAGTACCAGCTATCTCTATCATTGCGAACTCCTTAATATCACCATTGATAACATATACCATACTTACTTTACTCCTTCTTGCCATTATATGGATCGTTAGGAAAAAATATGGGATTTATGGAAAAAAAGAAATATCGAGTATTCTCATAACTGGAACTATTTTTAATCATCTCCAAATATTTCTGAGGTTAGGCTGTATGATCAGAGACCGGAAGTTTGGAGTGATCATCCTAGGCCAGAAGTTCGAAGATAGGAATTGAAGTTAGCTGGTATTATTGCATGAGAAAAAATATGTAAATAATATTATGTGAAGCATCTTATGACTAAATACTTAGCTGAAATTGTCACACTTCACTAAGAGTACTTAACAATATGGTTCAATGATTTCATCTATATCCGCTTTGGACGAATTATCTTTTTTATTATCCTGTAACTTCAATAATGTTGATAGCGTGAAATTTCTAGGCCAACTACTTTGAACTATATGTTTCGCAAATTGGCTAGTAATTTACATTCATCCGAATAATATAATAAATATTGTTCTATGGTCATAGTTTTTGATTTATGCTTAATATTCTTAGTAACTAGTTTATACATTTCTTCTTTGTACTGTATATTGATTTTAGAAATTTCTTTGAGCAATGATGAAACTTTTAAGCGGATAGGATCCTCTTGCTTATCTAGTATATTGAGAAAGGAAGTGTAATAATCAACATTATCTGAGCATTTTACTACTTTACTAGCATAATTAGTATCAAATAAATTTTTCGCGTAAATGCAGGCTCCTTTCTATAGATAAGATATAATGGCTTCATCTTTTTTGGACCTTCATGAAGGTTTTTGATATAACCTTTAACCCATTTTTCAGCCGATTTTTACGCTAAGGCATCTCTTATTTTTGATACTTCTTCTTCATCCACTTCGTCTTCATCTTCGTTCACGTCATCTTCATCCACTCTACCATCATCTGCTTTATTATTACCTGCCTTATTACTATCTTTTAACTTTTTTAAGGCTTCTAGCACAGCTTCGGATGATGGTTGGTATATATCTTCATAATTTATAAAACATGTACAGAGGTTGACAACACTATTCAGATTATACATGAAGTCGAAATGGATCATTTCGGATATCCAAAATGGTCGAAATAGTTGAAATCATTTTGACCATTAGAGGCTAAAGTCGCGAAATAGTCAAAATGACGTCATATCATATGATTTTTTATATAGAAAAACAAAAAAAACAAATGATATACGATCTCAGATAATATCGCTCCGATTCATATAAAACAACTACCATTCGATTTCTCTAAACTAGGCGGATCCAATGAGCTAACATTCATTGATTTTAGATCATCCAATCACGAGATACTCGCAATTGTATTATT